CCGGGTCCCCTGTTTGGGGGAGAGAGCTCAGGATGGGCGTCCTAAGGAGACGCACCCCTCGTGCCTGGGGGTGACGGCCCGCTCTCTGGACACTCATCCGGGGCCCAGCGGAGGTGACCTTGTGGTTCCGGGCGGCTGCCAGGGAGGAAGGCCAGGGTCTGGGACGTCACGGGGGGCAGAGGGGGGGGCTGGGCGCAGGCTGCCCAGTGGAGGCACAGGGATGGAACATGGAGGCACCGGGTGGGGAACAGCTGGGCTCAGAGAAGGGATGGGGGGCGGGGGCTGCCTCCTGCACCCCCCACACTGGGGAGCGTGCCCCGACTGGGAATGGAACCGTGACCTCTTGGTTCATAGGTCGATGCTTAACCACTGAGCCGCGCTGGCCGGGCTGACCTGCTCTTTGAGAAGGAAAGATGGAGAGAGCAGACTGACCAGGACAAGAGCAAAGGGTGGTCAGAGCCACCCACAACATGGGGTGAATGTGTGCCGCCCAGCGGGCCCCCCTCTGCACAGGGAACCTCGGGGAGTCACAGACTCTGAGGGTCTCGGGTGCGACTCCTCCCGGGCTCCGTGGGGCCGAGTGGGGCCGGTGTCCCTGTCCCTGGTCCCAGAAGCCCCTCCCAGGAGGTGGGGGGCCAGGGGGCAGGGGAGGGAGTGCCTGGCCGGGGGAGCTAAGCCCTGTGAGGCCCTGGGTGTGGACTGAGGGCCTGGTCCCTCCGCACCTGTCGGCCCAGCTGCCGGGCATTGTCTGGGGAGCGAGGAGCCCAAATTAGCCTGTGACCAGGCCCCAGAGCATCTGCCATGCAGCCCCCACACCCCCCCAGCTCCAGGGCCAGGTTTCCTGGGGCTGATGGCCGAGCCCCGGCCAGGCTGGGGGCTCAGGAGTGAGAGCAGAGGAAACAAAGACCCCAAATGTCGCCACCCCTCAATTCTCGGCCACAAAAGGCCTCAGCACGAAGCCAGTGGCATCAGAGACACAGTGCCCGGCCGGGGAGTTGCAGGGGCCCCCCACTCACCAGGAACCCCAGCCCCGGGAGCTTTCCCAGCCTAACGTTTGGAGCCTCCATTTCTCCCTGTGAACCCAGGTGGTGGTCCCGGCTGAGCTGAGCTGAGCTGAGGCCGGGCCGGTGTGGCTCAGTGGGTGAGCGTCGACCTAGGAACCAGGAGGTCACGGTTTGGTTCCCGGGTTGCCGGCTCGATCCCCAGTTGGGGGCGTGCAGGAGGCCGCCGATCCATGAGTCTCTCTCATCATTGATGTTTCTCTCCCTCTCCCTCTCCCTTCCTCTCTGGAATCAATAAAAATATATATTTTTTAAAACGGAAAGTGATGCTCCGAATTGCTGATTCTCTGTACAGCTCGGTTTTAAGTGGTTTGGCTGCAGTAACCGGTGGTACTAGTACTAGCACCTGGAGGAGGAGGCCTGGGCGGGGCCAGAGGGAGCCTGGGCGGGGCCAGAGGGAGCCTGGGCGGGGACAGGAGGA